AATGCCGCCAAAGCGGCTGCGCCCACCTCGGCCTCCCGGCGGCCTCGTCGCGAAGCTCACGCCGGGCGTGCCATAGGCGCCGCGGCTCGACCCTCCTCAAGATGAAGATCACGATCTTGCTCCCCTACTTCATTGCAGTTCGCGCCTTTGCGCCCGCGCCGGACACGACGCCGACGGCAACCTTCTGCAACGACGGGATTGACATGCCGCGATTCTCGGCCAACGCAGTTGTGACCATTTACTGGCTGCAGGCTCCGCTCTTCTCGATTCTCCCCCCCCCCCCCTTCCCCCTTCCCTCTGTCGGGGACATTACCGATCGCATGCACCTCTACCACACTGCTGTCGCATTCGAGGTTGTTGATCAAGGCGTAGCCCGGAACTACACCATGGAATTCGACTCCACCACATCTCTCGTCGGAGGCATCGTCCCACATCTCTCCGGACAAACACCATGGAATGCTCGCTACTGCCTGAGGCCTCCGGACTGCCCGAACTGCACCGGGGGGCTGTTTTGGGGCCCCAAGCACTGGACCAAGGCGCTCAAGCCGGTGCTGAAGGTGCGCGGGGAGCACCTCAATCGTCTGGCCTCCGATTTCATGCCCCTGTACAACCACTCCGCACTGTACCAGCCGTTCCGGGTGACGGGCAAGGAGGCCGGCGCCCCCGACCGCATAGAGGACGTGACGTGCAACACGGGCGCACAAAATTTGCTGGAGTATCTCAGCCGCATCAGCGACAGCGGGTCGTTCCCACTGATGAACACCTCGCGCTTCACACTGCACGCAGCCACCGTCACCAAGGTGAACGCCTCGGACCCAGAGCTGCTGAGCTTCTACCAGGAGCTAGGCGATGTCATTCACCTGAAGCGCCTTTACGAGTTTGTTGCCTTGGCGCGTGGGCACAAGTTTGTGTACTCGCAGGGAGTGTACTGGCAACTGAGCGACTTCTTCCACCCGTACGTGAGCATCGACTATGTGGCTGCCCCCGACCCCTTCCCCCCGCCACACGCCTTCGAGGAGACAGAGTAACATTGCCGAGGCCTTCTCCGCCTTCGAGGTGACAGTGTAACATTGCCGAGGCCTTCTCCGCCTTCGAGGTGACAGTCATGTCCGATAGCTCGAGACGTAGGATGCAATAGTGCAACGCGAGCACAACCAAGCAAGGATGGCGCGCATGTAACATGCAGATCGATCACCCGACCATCCCTGCATGCGCGGGACGGCATTGGGCCAATCCTTGAGTGAGCGCTGAACACTGACTGTGCGTGAGGGTGGGTGGGTACTCGGCCGCTCCAAGGACTATCTTAGGATTGTCAGTCTAGTCTAGCGTGCGTGCAGCGGTGGCTCGGAGCGTTGGCGCTCTCGAGCCACGGCCTGTGGCCGGCTCTATTCCGGTACGGGGCCCGCAGCGCTGTCAGCCTACGTCTCTGGACTGCCCTCTGCCGTCGCCGTCGCCATAGTGGCGACATCTTTTTTGCATAGTTCACAATGTTGACCTTCACACCTATCCTTGCTCCTTCTGTGGTCCAGGGAGCGCGGGGAAGGGCGCTGGGAGCAACACGGAGAGCTCCGTTGCGGTTTGGACGTTTTCTCTAATCAAGATGTTACTTGTTAGCGTGTCATAGAGATTAGAGTGGAATTGCAATTGGAAGATGGAACTAGCCTAAGAGCTAAGTGTGTGTGTGTGTGTGTGTGTGTGTGTGTGTGTGTGTGTGTGTGTGTGTGTGTGTGTGCCGTGTGTGTGTCTGTGTGTCTGTGTGTGTGTGTGTGTGTGTGTGTGTGTGAATCTCTGTGTGTGTCGAGACAGCTCAGACAGGGCGCATGCGTTATGCGTAACGACGCTGCTAGAGATGCCTGTCGGGTCAAGAATACTCTCACTAGCCGTCCCGCATGCCGCATCCCCTTCGCCCAGCTCCTTTTCGCCTCGCTGCACTCCACCCCTGGCTGTGCGCCACGACCCGCAACACGCCGTTTCATCGTTCGCGCGAGGCGCGCAGACAGACAGGTGAGAGCGAGTTTCAGTTTGTTATTAGTAGTTAGTGACTTGGCCTGACACGCAATTGATCGCCTCCATCCATATATTTGGCTGACACGCTCTCGGCGTGCCACCCGGCGCTCGCCTTTCGCCTGACGCCCAACTACCTCCATATCTCATGCATGTACATTGATCTACTCGTGTGCAGGCTAGTTCCATTTCACAGTGGCACAGCGTGCGTTAGTTACACAATCTTGCTTGATTTTGCGCCATTCGGTACCTCTCGCTGCCTTCCAGAGGCAGCTGCGGCCCCGCCGAGGGGAGAGAGAGAGATTTTTGAAGACCAACAAGAAATCACGACTCTCACAGTGATTTGGGCTCGGCAGCTTGTTAGCCCTCAGCCGAAGCTGGGGCCGGTCCCGTAGCCGAGAGAGCCCGCGCCGATGAGTTCGACGCGGTCGGGGGGGCCTGCGGAGAGGCCAGCGAGGTGGCGATCGCTGTACTTCATGGTGTCATCAAGTGACCGGCTGACTCGCCAGAGGTCGATACTCTGGACGACCCATAGGATGCCACGAATGCCTGAAGGAGAGGGAGGCGAGGCCAGAGGCAGGCTCAGCTGCTCTCGGGTGATCCCGCTTTGGTGGCTGAAGGACCCGATGGTCCTATCACATTCGCGTTCCGAATCGTGGGGGTAGAAGAATTCGAGTAGAAATCGAGTCAGCACATCCTTGTAGTACATTTGCAATTATTGCACGCCGCGCCGCCGTCGGCGTACTTATTGGCAGCAACTTATTGGCGCGGTTTTCGCGATGTCTCCCCTAGCTCTGGGTCGCAATTGGCGATCCCAGGCGGGAGCAGAGGCCTCGATTCTCTGATCCCACCCTCCTCCCATATCCCCTTCTTAGTTTCACGGAGAGGGGTAGAGTGCGAATTCCGCAATGTGTGCCATGTATTGCGTCCTCGCGATTGTAACATGCGGATATAACCAAACGACTCTGTTCACAACCGCAAGTTACCAACGCGGTATAGGCGTAAAAAAGTTTCTAAAGGCCATTTTCGCACAAGATAAGACGAAAGATAACAATAAGCGGCCAGGCCCAAAAAAACAATTTCCCGAAGAATTCCTCGAGCGGCTTTCGCCCGCCCCCTGCCCGCCCGCTAAAAGGTGGCCCATTTCGCACAAGCACAGACGGTTGAGGAGAACCCGTCGCCTTCACGGCGTGCTCGCCGACGTCATGCATCTCGCCGCGTCGCTGCGCCTCGCCAAGCACGACCTCCTGGACTTTTTGGACGAGTGCTGCCTCGGTGCGCTCCTTCCCGGGAGCGAGCAGGAGCGCCTCGTCGCCGAGCCTTGCCTCGGCGAGGGCGGCGCTCTCTATCCTCGGCCAATGGTGATCTACAGCCGGCCATTCGCGTCGCCAGCGTGCCGGCGGGACTCGAATGGCACGACCGCATGGAGAATCTTCGGATCAGCCGTGCTGGCTGCCGAGAGAGACGGCTCCACTTCTCGTGCTCTTGGCGTCTCGGCGACCGGCCGAGGCGCGTGGCGCTGCTGATCGACGACGCGCAGGAGGAGTACCGCTCGCTCATGCCGCCACGCGTCCTCTCTCGCCTCTGCGATCTCGTCACTGCGGCGCGAGCCGCCGGCGCCGTTTCTCTCGGTCGCACCGGCGATGACTGGGAGCCTTGTCTGGACCCCGTCTGAAGCCCGTCTGCAGGCGTCGTCGTCCTCTGGTCCCGCTGGTGCCGCACCTCGCCCACCGACGCGCACTACGGCGCCCTCGACGAGTACTTTGGCCCATGGGGCGTCGCGTCGCACGACAACCCGCTCTACCTCGCATCGGACAAGGGACGCGCCATCATGCACGAGGCTTGCTCGCCCCGTTGCTCACCCCCACGCCACACGCCGCAGCGCGCGGCCTTTGGGCGCCACTTTCGCCTTTGAACGCCTTCGAGCGCCGCGCCAGCTCCTGCCGGCACTCACGGGATGTGGAGATGCGAACGGGTAGCCCTCCCAGCCTCGCTGTTTGCATGGAGACATTTCCCTCGCCCTGGCCTCTCCTCGCCCTTGCCTCCGCCGCCTCGCCCTCGCCTCAGCTTCCACCGCCGCCCCTGGCCGCAGCTTGCTCCTCCGAGAGGTCGCGCGTCATCGACTCGCACGCCTTCGACGCCTTCGCGGCGAGGCGGCCAGACGGGCACTTCCGAGCCGCGGGCGGGTGTCCTGTCCTGTGGGCGTGTCCGCGACGCGTGCCCGGACGTGTCCCGCAGGCGCTCCGTGCTGCGGGCAGAACTCGACGCGCACGGCGTCGACACGCTCCTGCTGGCGGGCTGCTGGACAGAGTCGTGCGTCCTCTCCACCGCGGTCCGGGCGGTGGCAGAGGACCTCAACGTGGCGGTGGCGTCCGACGCCGTCTTCACGTGCGCGGACGCCGGGCCGGCGGCGCTGCGCGTTCTCGGCGTGTACTGCTGCATGGTTCGCGCCGCAGAGATGTCGGCGTATCTGCGAGACCTTGCCTCGGCTGGGACTCTGGCGGAGGCTGACGCGACGGCAGTCGAGCGGACGGCAGCGCTGCCAGTGGCGTTGGCGCAGCCTCTGCCTCCTGCCAGCGCTGAGGCCACGTGATCTCGTCTTCTCGTGTTCCCCTCGCACTTGCCACTTGTTTTTATACTCCACCGCATCGAAATACGTACACCCTCTCACGCGACATGCACCTGGAACCACCTCTCGACTGGCGCGCGACAGACAGGGCACCGCTCCATCTTTGCGGAACACCGCCCGCAAGCGCACACATGGCCACACGGCGTCGCTATGTGAGACTTCGGGTCGGTGAAGCAAATTATGCACGTCGTCTCGCCGCCCATCGTGGACTCCGGCGGCCGGCCCGTGTCGAAGCTAGCGTCTGCGAGCGAGACGAGGGCGTGGGGCGGCGGGGGCGCGCCGTGCGTGGGGGCCGGTGCTCCCGCGTCGGCCGCCGCGGCCGCCGTGGCGGACCTTGGCGGGCGAGAAGAGGGAGGGGCCTCTACCGCAACCGCCGCCGCCTCCGCCTCCTCCGCGCCATCGGTCGGAGTATTCATGACCGGCTCCTCGGTCGAGACGAACCGGTCGGTCGCCTCGGCCGCGGCTCGCTCCGCCTTTTCAATCTCCCCCACGAGGGCAGGCAGGGCCGCCGCGTGCGACGCCGCCGCCGCCGCCGCCGCGCGCCGCTCCTCGAGCGAGGTGCTGCTCGTGAGCGCCTGCAGCGCACGCAGCGCGCTCGCCTCCGCAACCGCCGAGCCATGCTTTCGCATCTCGGCCGCCGCGGCAGTGGCGGCGGCCGCGGCCTCCGCCGCCCGCTCCGCCGCCGCCACCGCCGCCGCTCGCGCTGCCGACTCCCGTGCCGCTACCACCTCTCTCTCTTCCGCCTCACGTGCCTCCGCCTCCTCCGCCGCCCTCGCCACAGCCCCACCTGCAGCTGCCCTCGCCGCCTCACTCAACAGCTCCTCCTCTGCCACCGCCGCCATCTCACCTCCTCCGGTCGGCGGCCTCGGCGGCTCCGCCGCCTTCCTCCGCCGCCGCCGCTCGCGTTTCTGACGCTCGCGCTCTGCCGCCTCTGCCGCCGCCTTCTCCCGCCGCTCACGTCTCTGACGATCGCGCTCTGCCGTTTCTGCCGCCGCCTTCTCCCGCCGCCGCTGCTGCTCCCGCTCCCGCTGCTGCTCGTAGCGTGCCCTCTGGACGACGATCGGTGGCTCTTGAAACGGAGACAGCACGTGCTCAACCGTCCAGATGACCACGTCCAACACGGTGAATGCTGCGCTCTCGAACCATGTCGTAAGTCGCCGCGCGCCGCCCTGCCAGTTGGCGAAAACGATGAGAAGAAGGGGGGGTGCAAGCCCCAAAAATCAGTCCCCGGTCCAATGGAAGGCGCAGAAGGATGTCACACAAACGAGCGCATCAAGCCAGCGCCAAATGACCATCACCCGGGCGGAACAAAAAAGCCACCACGGCTTCCGCCACGGCTTCCGCCACGGCTTCCGCCACGGCTTCCGCCACGGCTTCCGCCACGGCTTCCGCCACGGCTTCCGCCACGGCTTCCGCCACGGCTTCCGCCACGGCTTCCGCCACGGCTTCCGCCACGGCTTCCGCCACGGCTTCCGCCACGGCTTCCGCCACGGCTTCCGCCACGGCTTCCGCCACGGCTTCCGCCACGGCTTCCGCCACGGCTTCCGCCACGGCTTCCGCCACGGCTTCCGCCACGGCTTCCGCCACGGCTTCCGCCACGGCTTCCGCCACGGCTTCCGCCACGGCTTCCGCCACCGCTTCCGCCACGGCTTCCGCCACGGCTTCCGCCACGGCTTCCGCCACGGCTTCCGCCACGGCTTGGGTGTGTGATGGGTGTGATGGAGGTGTGATGGGTGTGTGATGGGTGTGATGGGTGTGTGATGGGTGTGTGATGGGTGTGATGGGTGTGTGATGGGTTGTGATGGGTGTGATGGGGGTGTGATGGGTGTGTGATGGGTGTGATGGGTGTGTGATGGGTGTGTGATGGGTGTGTGATGGGTGTGTGATGGGTGTGATGGAGGTGTGATGGGTGTGTGATGGGTGTGATGGAGGTGTGATGGGTGTGTGATGGGTGTGATGGAGGTGTGATGGGGGTGTGATGGGTGGTGTGATGGAGGTGTGATGGGTGTGTGATGGGTGTGATGGAGGTGTGATGGAGGTGTGATGCCGCGTCATAGCCGTGCAGACCCTTGTCCTCGTAGCTGCGATGTACCGGATCAAACTCCTTGAGAACGAGAAAGAGCAAGAAAGGGTGAGAAGACAGGAAACGGAGAGGCAGTGAGGGTGAATTCGCGACTGGCGCCTACCGCCGTTCTCAAGCTGCGCCGCCTCGCGCGCAAAGTCGCGCGCGGCAGCGTTGACCGCACGGCCTACTCGCCCAAGTACTCGCTTTCTTTTATGTCCCACCATGCAGAGCGCATCTCTCTCTCTGTTGTGCGAGGCGTGAACCGCGCCATTCGCTCTCACCTGGCAACCCTGTCTGCACGTCTCGCGCGCGCGTGAACAGGGCTCCAGGCCCCAAATTACGTGTGAGTGTTAGAGTTGTTTGGTATTGCTAAAAATCTCTCTCTCTCAAAGAATTTTACAACAACTCCCTCGCACAACACTGGGCACGGGACTGGTGCGCACTGGCACTAACACAGGTACACCAAAAGAAGTTTTGAGACGGAATTCCCTCGCACAACACTGGGCACGGGCTAGGGCTAAAAAAGAAAGAATTTTTGACAAAACTCGCTCGCACGACAAGGCACGGGACTGGCGCGCACTGGCACTAACACAGGTACACCATGGAAAAGAATTCTTAAGATGGAAAAGAAAGAAAACAAACAAGCGGCGAGGGATAGGGGGGGGAGGAGGACAGGGTCCCCACCTGCACGAGCAGGATTTTGGAAGGACGATCAGGGGGACAGGAGAGAGAGAGATTTTTAGCAATTGTTGTTTGGGGACAGGGTGGGGCTCTCCTGCTCCTGACAAGGGACACGACAGGCTCGCAGCGCGGTGCACGGTGGACTCCCAACTCCACTGGCTGGCGGTCTCATCTCAGTCTAGCGACCTGCCTCCAGCTTCTCGCTGGAAGTCTCTCGCTACCACAGGCACACTGACACAGGGGTGGCAGGGGCGGCGGCAGGAGTCTCCCACATACTATGCGGGCCTCACTAGAGGTGCGTCCTGTGTGTGTCCTGGTCCTTCAGGTCTTGAGGGGGAAGGGGAAGGGGCTGTGTGTCTGTGCATGCGTGTGTGTGTGTGTGTGTGTGTGCGTGCGTGCGTGCGTGCGTGCGTGCGTGCGTGCGTGCGTGCGTGTGTGTGTGTGTGTGTGTGTGTGGGCGGTGTGCGAGCCGCCCTGAACGCCACGAGCGCGCCGCGAGCGCCGTAGCGCCGCAAACGCCGGCGAGCGCCGTCCGCAGCGTCTGTGCTTATTGTGCAAAAATGGCCTTTCTAGACACTTTTTTTGTCTATACGCCTATACCGCGTTGGTGTCCAGTCCGTGTCCGAGGATAGGTGAAGGTCAACATTGTGAACTAGATGCAAAAAAAGATGTCGCCACTATGGCGACGGCGACGGCAGAGGGCAGTCCAGAGACGTAGGCTGACAGCGCTGCGGGCCCCGTACCGGAATAGAGCCGGCCACAGGCCGTGGCTCGAGAGCGCCAACGCTCCGAGCCTGGCGCTCTCGAGCCACCGCTGCACGCACGCTAGACTAGACTGACAATCCTAAGGTAGTCCTCGGAGCGGCCGAGTACCCACCCACCCTCACGCACAGTCAGTGTTCAGCGCTCACTCAAGGATTGGCCCAATGCCGTCCCGGCACCGGACCAAGGCCCGCGCATGCAGGGATGGTCGGGTGATCGATCTGCATGTTACATGCGCGCCATCCTTGCTTGGTTGTGCTCGCGTTGCACTATTGCATCCTACGTCTCGAGCTATCGGACATGACTGTCACCTCGAAGGCGGAGAAGGCCTCGGCAATGTTACACTGTCTCCTCGAAGGCGGAGAAGGCCTCGGCAATGTTACACTGTGTCTCCTCGAAGGCGGAGAAGGCCTCGGCAATGTTACACTGTCTCCTCGAAGGCGGAGAAGGCCTCGGCAATGTTACACTGTGTCTCCTCGAAGGCGGAGAAGGCCTCGGCAATGTTACACTGGTGGGTGCGTTCACTTCAGTGAGCCTCGTCCTCCACAATTGGCATCGACTGGGGGCTCGATGGCAGGGGGAAGGGGTCCGGGGCAGCCACATATTCGGACCAGACGTACGGCGAGTAGAAGTCGCTCAGTTGCCAGTACTCTCCCTGCGAGTACACAAACTTGTGCCCACGCATCAAGGCAATAAACTCGAAAAGGCGCTTCTCCTTTGACCCGATGGGTGGGCCTTGAATGACATCGTTCAACGTCTGGTAGAAGCTCAGCAGCTCTGCATGCACCGCTGGGTCCGAGGCGTTCACCTTGGTGGCTGTGGCTGCGTGCAGTGTGGCGCGCGAGGCGTTCATCAGTGGGAACGTCCCGCTGTCGCTGATGTTGCTGAGATACTCCAGCATGAATTGTGCGCCCGTGGAGCACGTCGTGTCCTCTATGCGGTCGGGGGCGCCGGCCTCCTTGCCCTTCAGCCGAAACAGCTGGTACAGTACGGAGTGGTTGTACCGGGGCATGAAGTCGGAGGCCAGACGATTGAGGTGCTCCCCGCGCACCTTCAGCACCGGCTTGATCGTGAACCTCAGCCCCTTGGGGCCTCGCTGCGTCCAGTGTGAGGCGTTGAACATCAGCCCCTCGGTCAGGCAGTAGCGAGCACCGTTCTTGAAGTGGAACTGTCCGTCCGGAGAGATGTAGGGGGCGATCTGGGTCATGCCTCCGGTGGCGTCGAATTCCATGGTGTAGTTCTGGGCTACGCCTTGATCAACAACCTCGAATGCGGTAGCAGTGTGGTACATGCGCGCCCAATTGGTAATCGGCCCGATATCCACCGGGTATTTGGGCCGGCGGATAAACGCCGAGAAGAGCGGAGCCTGCAGCCAGTAAATGGTCACAGCTGCGTTGGCCGAGAATCGCGGCATGTCAATCCCGTCGTTGCAGAAGCGCTTTGGCTTAGCTGTTGCCGTCGGCGTCATGCCCGGCGCGGGCGCAAAGGCGCGAACTGCAATGAAGTAGGGGAGCAAGATCGTGATCTTCATCTTGAGGAGGGTCGAGCCGCGGCGCCTATGGCACGCCCGGCGTGAGTTTCTCCGACTAGGCCTTCACTCGGTTAGGCCGATATGGGCCCCATTCCCCTTTGGTCGCCTTGGTTTTGAATGCCTTACCTCTTTTTGTCCTTTGTGGATGTTTTATCCGTTCCTTGCAACTTAACGCCTGTGGTACACTGGCACAAATTCTCTG